CAGTGATCATGAATATGAGGTAGGACGGGACAATACGCCTTTCTCTTGTCCATACGGTTTTCAGGAGTTGGTGATGACTCAGCTAGCTAGCTATCCATCTAAGGATTAAGTAGCATCCGGAAATGTTATGTCTGCAGAACTCATGGGGGTCTTCTAGTTAAGGAAGGGCAATGCGTATCAGAAGCCTTCCTTCCCTCGCCGGTAGCAGATGTTGCCAACCAATTACAACACCCTCCCAATCCTAACTGTCTCAGAATACTCAACAAGGTCACTAATGAATTATGGGGGGTTGAAATGGAAAATGAAATCATTTTATTTTCCTTGATCTGACCCAATCCCTTATTTGATGAACAAGATGAGAATTTGTGTCCTCCACAACCTTCATTCTTCAACTTTGTCCTTTTATCTCTAGTTAACCTTAGCCTTCAGTTTCCATTTATCATTTTAGGAGCATTCTTAACAATGCCCCATTCCAAGACATCTTTACCCAGCAGTCCCATCGCCAGGAATCTTGTTCAAGCTGCCTCAGCACTAAGAACCACATCATGTTTCACTTCAGAGAGCTGCTTCAATATCCTCACTCACCCAATGAAGAGATGGCGTCCAAAAACTGAGGTCAAGCGATTTGCCCAAGATCTCATGACAACTTATGTTGTCTCCCGGATCGCTTGCAGATTGGCCCATTGTGATCCATAGGGTTTTCGCAGGCAGATTTTGGAAGTAGATAGCCAGGTGGTTGTTGTTGTTATTTCCTTTTTCAACTTAGCCTGGTAGCTCCACTGAAACTTAGCATCAGAGCAGCCTGAAAGCCTCCGCAGTCAATCAGTTGATAGCTGTCGATGAGGTGTGCTGGTCACGAAGAGGACTGCCGCCCATGCGGACAGATGTCCATCAGTTAGTCAGAGGCTTAAGGCATTCACTTCTTTTATACTCTCGCCCATTTCTGCGTGGAAGATGAGATGTCTACCACTGGCCCACTATGTCTCCCTCCTTTGTATGGACTCACATTTATGTAAGCAGATCCAAAGATCTGTATGTAAATCTCAAGAGATTCAGAAGCAGGAGGTGAGGATCGTGAAGAAAAC